GCTTTGCCACTGAGCTAAATCCCCAGCACCCCCTCAATCTTTTTTTTAAGAGAGGAGTTCTCACTATGTTGTCCAGGTTGTCCCCAAACTCCCAGCATCAAGCAGTTCTCCTGCCTTAGACCGGATCGGGCTAAATCTTTGGTCTACCACCTAATTTGTGACCTTTGGCAGTTTATATAACATCACTGGGCTTGAGTTTCCTCACCTGTAAAATGAGGATAATAATAGTAGCTACTTCCTAGAGCTGTCGTGAGAGCTACATTAACACACAAGAAGCACTTAGGGATTATGTGTGGGCTCCTTGCTGGTACGGTTTCCTCCCACCAGAGTTAGCCCCTTGAATGCTTACCCCTTCCTGGCAAGGAAGGCCATGCGCTTGGCTTCCGCCCTCTCCCTCAGTACTGCAGGATCCTGCACAAAATGGTCCGGCTGTGGAGGGAAGAGGAGACAACATTACACGAGCTGCTCCATTCCCCTCGGCTATGGTGGGACCCTGCTTGCAAGAATCTTGCTCAAGCTCCCGTGCTAGGGACAGGGGAGCTGCGGCAGGCATGGGGAGCCCAGGAACGTGTTGCCTTGCTGCAGTCTGAGACTCGCGTGAGGAGCGGGAGGCAGCTGAAGGGCCAAGGCTTCCTGGACAGGCTGTCGGGGTTAATGGACCATAGCTGCAGTGTGACAGTGACAAGTGGAAAAAGGAAGAGGAGGGCACGATGGCCTCTAGAAGAGGCCACACAAGGCCAAGGAAGCTGAGTGAGCCCTCCTGCCCACGGGCTTATCCTGGGAGGTGGGGGCGCCTGCCCTTGAAGACAGCTTTCTATGCCAAGACTGCAAGAAGCGTGGACCAGTACAGGAGAAACAATGACCTCAGGGATATAAGAAGGCTTTTGTGGCCAGTGGTTAAAAAAACAAAGAACAGCAACAAAAAAAAAAAAAAAAAAAAAAAAAAAAAAAAAAAAAGGCAAAACAAGTAGGATTAGTAGCATGTGAAAATAGGCAGATTTTTTTTTTTTTTGAGACAGAGTCTCACTATGCAGTTCAGGTTTGCCTTGAACTCGCTTATGTAGCCCAGGTTGGCCTTGAACTCATGGCAATTCTCCTGCCTCAGCCTCCCAAGGGCTGAGATTACAGGCATGTGCTATCACACCCAGCTGAAAATAGGTAGATTTTATATAAAAATTTGGGCTGCTCTCCAGGCTGGATGGAAGGGAAATCTGTGAGACTCTGGGATCCTCCTGGTCCAGGGAACACTCCCCACTACTCAGTGCAGTTCCCACCAGGAGCTTCCTCAGTCACTCTGGTGACCTGGCCCTGGGAACACCTGACCTGCCAACCCGGTGGGAGGGCACAGGGGGGCTCCAGGGCTCCAGGCTGCCACCCCACTGACCTGAGCAATACTGCTCTAATGTGTTTTATGTTGAGATTCTAGTTAATATTTTAGTTGAATAAAAAGTTTAGCTGCTAAAAAACAGAACTTTCAAACTCACATGTACAGATGACCTCCAAGGCCCCTGGGCTCTTAACTTCTCTTTGATTTTAAGAACTGTCAGCCTAGGCACACCAGCTGCCAGCTGCCCTCCCAGCCCCAGGCTTCTGGGCCTAATGAACCCAGCAACTCAAAGACCTGGCCTCTAATCTGTCCCTTGGGCCCTCACCAGGCAACTGAGGTTAAGCCAGAAGCAATCCAGGCAGATAGCCTGGGCTCCCAAAGACCTCCCTTCCCCAGCAGTGACACTGGGGCTGCCTCAGGGCCAGATGCAGGGAGGGAGGGAGGCTCACAGCTTCAGAACTGCGAGTCTTTCACCTGCCACCTGCTGAGGAAGTACCTTGGGGCCCTCGTCTTCAGCCTCCTCTTCTTCTTCGTCCTCCTCCTCCTGCCCTTCTCCGGATACTTTGGTTCTTAGCACCTGAGGGATAGTGAAGGGCCTGCAGGTTTGGAGAGATAGTGAGATCAAAGACTAGGTTAAAGTTGGAGAGAAAGTCTCAGGAACAGGGATCTGGCGTGGATAGGGCACTGCCAGGAGAGGAGCACACTCAGGAGGCTGGGAATACCACAGCACTTCCCAAAGCCAGCTCTGCTCCAGCCCTGGATTCTCTTCAGGAACCAGGTTCTGACTGGGGGTGATGAGGGTAAGGAAAGGGTTGAGCGGGGCCTCTTCGGTCTTCCCTGTAGTCAGGGCAGCTCTGCTTTGATCTGTTTTGGGGAATCCCTGTAATATTCCATTGGGAAAGGGCCGGAGAGATAGCTCAGTGACACAAGTGCCTGCTTGGCAAGGTCCTGAGTTCAATTCCCGGTACCAAAAAAAAAAAAAAAGATTCCACTGGGAAAAATATTCTGCACATAAGAAAAATTCAGGCCCAGCATGGTGGCATGCGCCTATAATCCCAGCACTTGGGAGGCTGAGGCAAGGGGATTGCTGCAAGTCCAAGGCCAGCCTGGGCCCCACAGTGAGTTGACGCCAGTTTGAACTACACAGCGTGTAGGGAGACCTTGTCTCAAAAACAAAAAGCACAGGCCTGGGAGTCAGGAGGCCTGGGTATGGGCCCCGGTTCTGCCCTGACTCATCCATGTGATCAGGCCTGGCTTTTCCTCTGTACACACAGAGGGTGATGACAGCACCCCAGGCCCGAGAGCTTCCCTGCTCTGGGAATGCTGCCACCCACTGCCTCACCTGCGGCTGATGAGCTCATCATCTGAGTCTGCATCATTGGCGCCCACCTGGTTGCCATCGTATGTGTCATCGTACTCATCCTCATAGTTCTCACCATGGTCGTCACCTGGCTGCAGCGGCACCTGAAATTGTGGAAGTCTGGGTCAGAGGAGCTCAGGGACCAGTGGGGTCTCCCGTGCCCAGCAGAGGCGGGGCTTGGTCACCTACCTCCTCCACCACCACGCTGTACTGTTCATAGCGCTGCCGCTGAGCCGCCACCGCGCGCTTGTCGTTCAGTAGGCTCCGAGTGTTCCCCTCCTTCCTGGGGACAGCAGAGAGAGGGAGGGAGGGAGGAACCATCAGGTTTGGACGGCCATGGTGCGCAGAGGATCCACGGAGACACCAAGCGTACTTTGCTGCAGCTGGAAGTGGCCCACGTGGAGACAAGGGATATCGTGCACTGGTGAGGGATGGGTGGCGGGGCTCTCACCTCTGAGGTCCGTCTGTGTGTGTTAAAGCAACACACACACCTCTCTTTTGACCAAGAAATTCCCCTCCAGGGCACTAAGCTTAGAGAATCTCGCTCTCCAGGCACACAAAGAAGTCTCGTCAGGGGTTTTCTTTTCAGTATTGTCAGTAACAGTGAAAAATGGAAAGCAAGCGATGTCCTTCACGAGTGAAATGGCCACATTAACTGTGCCTTGTCTGTGCTGCACTGCCGCGCATAGTTCTCAACAATGCTGATCTACTTGTGCTGACCGCAAGAATTCTATTCTGCAGGAGAAAAGAAAGCTACAGAAAAACAGAATGATCCCGAAAGCAAAGCTACCCACTTCTGTTTCTGTAGGCTCTTAGCTGTATGTAAATGCAGAGAAGGCCCAGCATGGCGTTAAAGGACAATGATTACTTTAACTACAAGGGGCTTGGGGTTGTTTCAATCTTTTGCTTTTGTTTTGTTTTCTTTTGTTTCATTTTTGGCTTTTTCTTTTTGCAGCTGTGCCCAACTCAGGGCCGCAGGAGCCGGTCTTTAAAATAAACAAAGAGTAAGCAAGGCCACATGTGGAATTCTCCCAACCTCTGGGTGTGGAGCAAGGAGGAGCCCTGGCCTCTTCCTTTCACCCCTTTTATCACAGTAACTCCCTATCTACCTGTTCCACAGTCCCACTTCCATGTAAGCATTCACCGGAAGAAAATTCTGGAAGCACAACTCCCGTCACAACACATGTAAGGAAACTGGTGCAGCGGAGGGGAAAGCGACACCAGGGGATCACTGTGACCCGTAGCATAGGCTTGATGGGGACTCAGGCAGGTATCTTGACCGTGCCTTTGCCAACCCGTAAAAAAACTTGGCTTGTCAGCCGCTCGCACAAGCCTGTGGAATGTAGTTTCTAACCCTGCAGGGGAAAATCAATATGAGATGCCAGGCAAGAAAATCCAGCTTAACTGTGAATCTGAGGCTCTGGAATGTATCAAGGGGAGGCGAGAAAAAAAGAAAAGACATAGGCTATACACAGCTTCCATAAAAAACTTCTATTAACTGGCTTTTGTCACAGAGAGAGGTGGGCGTCTGAGTCTGCCAGGCTGTCTGCCTGAGAGCCTGCAGCCGGTCAGGACTACAGTACCTAGCACGGCAAGCAAGGCTTTGCCTCCCTGCAAGGTAGGTAGGTAGGTAGGTAGGTAGGTGTGTGTGTGTGTGTGTGTGTGTGTGTTGCTGGGGATTGAACCCAAGGCCTTCACACTGAATTACATCCCCAGCCTCCCTCTTACCGCCCTACCTCCCTATTTCTTTTTTAATTTTGAGATTTAGTCTTGATAAGTTACTAAGATACCCTGGACCCAAACTTGAGATCCTCCTGCCTCAGCCTCCCAGAGTGCTGCGATTACAGGCCTGTGCTACCACGCCCAGCCAACATTCTTTATTAAGGGCTTATTACATGTCACACGGGGTTCTAAGGCCGAGGTGGGGAGAGACTCAGCAAGGAGTTAGATATGGATCTGGCTTCATGAACTCACAGTGCAGTGCCGTGACAGATTGGGCCCATCACAGGCAATGTGGATCATGCTGAATGGCAACATGCTTGGCCTGGAAACAGACAGGAGAAATGAACTCTGGCTCCCGAGTCCAGCACAGATCTGGAGGAAGGGTAATGAAGCTCTGTGATAGGAGGGGTATTTGACTGGATCACGAGGAAAGGGTGATATGTCTGGACGAGAAAGAAATCTTAGCCCACAGGAATCTTTCACAGCCACAAGGTAGGGGGTCTTGTGATGGTGGCCTGGACTCTGTACCTGGCTCTCTTTGCCATGCTGGAAAAGAGAGAGAAAGTAAAAGGTGTCTAAGCTTGTCCAGGTGGTTGGTGCCACTGTAGGAACACACCATACATTCAACCACATTTGTGGAGTGCTGGCCAGGTGCCAGGATCTGGCGGGCCCGGGACAGGACTGAACGTGAGGGTCACCATCCTTTTTGCTACCCTGCAGCTCCTGGTCGATGCTGTCCCTGGTTCAGGCAATGGGGTCGTTCTTGTATGTTGGGAGGCCTCTGCTCCCTAGCAGGCCAACCAGAGAGGCTTGACAACCTCCACCCAGCCAAACTGGTCCCCAGGACAGCCCATCTGGGGAGGCATGGCTTTGGCCTCATGACCTTATCTGAAACCAGGAAGAACAGTCCCAGCAAAACCAGGTGGTAAAAGGGCTGTTTAAGGGCCAGAACGTCACTCTAAGCTAAAAATGTAGGCAACCGTGGCTTCAGGAACTGCCGCTGAAACAAGTCGCTTCCTCACCCTCCTACAACCTCCTGGCAACCCAGGAACATACAGGCTCCCCTGAAACCTGATTGCCTTCCCCCTCCCTCATCTCCTCAGCCCTGTTCTTCAGGGCCCATCTCAAACTGCTCCGTACAGAACCACAAGACAATAAACCCCTCCTTTTCCAGGGGAAGAGTCAGGAGACCCAGAGAGGCAGAGCAACTTGTCAAGCTCATATACCTTCCAACAGCAGGTCTCTTGACTCAGGTTTGCTTTATCCCTGCCTGAGCTATGTAACCCCAGGCAAGTCCCCTGTCCTCACTAAGTCTCAATTCCTTCTCCAGCACCCACTTGATGTGAGAATGAAGATAATGTGTAGAAGAAGACTGGATACCTGCTAGGTTCAACACAATGAATCCTGTTTGATTGCAGGACTTATCAGAGGCTTTAATGTGCTAACATGTTCTGTGATTCTCCAAGAAGCAGACATACATTTTTGGCCACAGAACCTTTTCTTTTTTTCTGGCGACAGGGTCCAGGCTGGACTCAAACTCATGGTGATCCTCCTGACTCAGCCTTCCAAGTGCTGGGATTATGGGTGCCTACCACCACACCTGGCCAAGAACCCTTTTTGAGGGGGAACATTTGTTATCTTCCAGGGCACTGTGGAACAGTCCAAAGAAGTCAGGGGACCCCACCTTACGGACACGGCTGCCTTTACTGGGCACAATATCTCTGTGGCACAGATGGTTGGCATCTACCCAGCAGCCCCCTCTACCTCGGCCATACTACTAACAGACCCTCATTTTGTTCAAGTCTTTGCACCTCTGTTCTTCGTATCAGAGCCTCAAGTCCTACTCTGTGACTCAGTTATGCTGGGGAAGAGGGGAACCTGAAAACTTCTGGCCTGGTTTCCTAGTCTCTAAGAGATCAAGACTTCCTCTTGGCATTGTCATTTCTGGAAGCCAAAGCCCAAACAGCCGCAACCCCCTGCACCCTCAAGGGAACCAGCCTGATCACCAAGCCAAGGTCCCTAAAGCCAGGAAAGAGGTAGCCTGGACCATGGCATTGCACCACGGGTTAGTCACACCCCTCCCCTTGCAGCTCCTTGAACACAAGGGACCAGATCTCCTTACTACTTAAGCCATGGAGTGTGTCCTACTGGACTCAATGACATACACACAGTGTGATCTGCTTTATATGATGGAATTTCTAGTGTGCTCCTCGAGAACAGGAAGGGCCCTGAGACTCCACACTGCCCTGATTAGGACACCTGTTCCTGCTGAACTCCTGGTGCACCCTACCCTGGCACCTTTGCTCTGCCACCTCGTTTAATGGTCTGTCTTTCCCACGGTCTCTGCCCTTTGAGGGCAAGGCGGGGGGGCCTGGCTCACCTTGTTTTCCTGGTGTCTAGCATAGGATCTGGTGCTTGTAAATCACTTAATAAATATTTGCTGAGTGAATAAATAAATAATGAACACATGAATGGAGGCTTTGCCTCTTTATAATCCCCACCCCTGGGTTAGCCAGAATGGTGGGTTCAGTAAACACTAGCCATCCAGGTTCTGCCAAACAGCCTGGAATGAATACCCCAGCCCTTTCTGACGACCCTGATAGCTGGGACCAGCCCCCTGGCAAATCCCTGTGGGTGATCTATGACGTGGGTAGGGGGAGATGGGTCCTTACATTTCCATGGCCCTGGGCAAAGCCGCAGACAAGGTCAGGCGAAAAGCCAAGCCCAGAGATACCTAAGCTCCATGGAGCCTACCAAATTAGGCTCCCCGGGTTGGAGCCTGAGCTAGCCTTCTACTCGCCTGGGGACCACTGGGTGCCCCTCCCCCCCACCCCCTGCCCCAAAGGAGCTAGAGGGCCATGGTGGCCTAGTGTAGTAGCTATGATACGGGATAGCTCTGGCCTGAGACCTTGGGGATGTCCCAATGTGCATGACTAAGCAGTTTGCAAGCGCTTCCTGCCCAGCCAGCCAGATGGCTCCAGAGCTGTCCGGCATCCACTCCTCAAGCCCTTGGCCAGCCAAGCTTCTCACAAGGAAAGGGAGGGAGAGCAGCTCGTACATCCACACGAGGGCTCCTACCAGAAGCGCAGGGCCTGCTTCCTCCCTCTGAACCTTCACTGTGACTGCAGACAGGGCAGGCTGCGCTCGCCCAGAGGCTGTCAGATTTCTGGGTTCCATGAATCAACACCATTCCACAACTCTGGGAGACGAGCAGTATCGCCGATGTCTTAGTTTGCCATTTGTGAGTTGGCTGTCAAACTCTCTACCGTTACTGCTAATGCTCAGTCCCACTGGTGGGTCTTCATCCCACAGCTTTTCAGAAGAATGTGTTAGCTCATGGGACCCTCACCACACTTCTGAAGGCCTTGGGGTCACTGTCCTTACTGTTCACTCTCCTCAAAGTTTTTCCTTTCCTTCTCTGCAGAACCGGCCCCTCTGCACCCTTCAGCTCTTGGTCCCTCATTGTCTTCTCAAAGGAGCCCTTCCTGCGTGGGGCCCCCGACAGCGATACAGAAGCCTGCACTCCTCCATCCTAGGACTTGTTCTCTCTGCAATGTGACACTGCTTGTTTGATGAGCTGCTTAACGCAAACTCCACGCGGGCACAGGCCGTGTCAACTTCACTCCCCACTCCAGTTCCGGAACCTAATTAATCCAGGGCCTCGAATGCTTAAATACCAGGCAAATATTTGTTGAACGAATAAGTCATGAATGGACCTTTTGATCCCCCAAATGTAAGAAGGACAAAAACTAAAAGAGAAAGGCCTTAAAATGGGGTATGTTCACCTTTGGAAAAGTTCACTTAGTGGAAATCCTTAGTTTTCTCACTTTGTCACAGCTTAGGGAAAACCAGGTCAAAAAGTGGCTTCTGGGAAGCACTGGCCAGCTCTCCCACCTGCAGCTGACAGTCAACACATCAAATACATAGTAAGGGCACAGGGGGACAGACCCGGCCTCTCTGGCCTTTTGCTACTGACAGGGAGGATTCATAGCCACTCCCCTGCAGTCACAGCGTGCAGCACAATCACTAAGGGATCTGTCCCCCACGACCACAAGAAGTGCACAGTGATCCAGTTCTGTGCAGATGGGGCCCTTGGTTTCTCTCATTGTCCCTCTGCACCTCCAGAGCTGGGGCGGGTGGAATCCTGCAGCCCACTGCACTTACCTCCTGCCCTTGTGTATCCGGCTGAGGTCCACCGAATCTCTGCTGAACACATCAAATTCATCATTCTGGAAGATGTTGTGACGCGATGTCAGCAGCGGGGTGGGGTCTGGCTTTGCCTGTCTGGGGGGTACAAAAATCAGTTTAAGGGCCCTGCCAGCTGATGCCTACCTCCTATGCCCCACTCTCTCCTGCCATGTGCTTTTGTTTTTTGGACGCAAGATCTTGCTAAGTCTTGCGCTCATGATCCTCCTGCCTCAGCCTTCCGAGTGCTGGGATTATAAGCATGCACCACCACACCTGGCTCCCCATGCTGTGTTCATCAGAATCCTCACTCTGGTGCAATGACCACAATTAGGACACAGTCTGGAAACCGTTAGTTGGAGACAAGGCCCTGCCTGAGTGTGCAGTCACACCGCGAATGAAGCTCCCTCAGGCATAATAGCTTACTTGCCATTTTTAAAAGCCCCATCCCTCATTTAATGCTTACAGTGGCCCTGGGAGACATGGGGCCAGAGGTCACTCAGTCTCGGGGGATGTTTTGGTGCTGGGGTTAGAACTGGGGCTTTGGACGTGCCATGCAAATGCTATACCACATTCCTAGCCTCCCGCAACTTCCTTGCGCCTCCGTGCTGAGGAACTTGCGCAAAGGCACAAAGATCACTTCATTCATTTGGTAAAGATCATTTGTCATGGAAGAAACATCCATTTGTGTCATCTCTCGTGGTGTCCCTGGAGCCCTTGAGGGCAGCAGTGGGCCAAACTCAGAAAGAGCATGAACAAAGGACAGAAGAGGCTCTGGATGTCCCCCTTCAGATGGGAAGGTGGGAAGGATGGACCAGGTCAAAAACTCAGAACTCTGAAGGGCTCCGCAACCGCTGCCACCTCTGTCTCTAATCAGTCTTCCCACAAGGTACGGCAGAGACTGTGAGCTGTGCACTGACACCCTGCTGGGGGCCCCAGGTTTCGTCTCCCTGAAGAAGCCTTGGTTTAAACAGTACACTGCTGTGCTGAAGAGAGGGCAAGCCAAGCCCTGGGCTACGAGGGAGGCGGAGAGAGGGCCTGCTGCCCTGAGGCAGACTGGGTCCCAGCCTCCGCCCACCCGTCTCTCCCACCTGTCTAGGCTGCGGTCCAGCTGGCTGAGGGCAGGTGCCAGCCGCTCCTCCAGGATGTTGTTGATCACCTGCTCCGGGTCGTAGCGGTAGTGCTCCAGGCAGGACAGGATGAAGCCCTCCCCAAGGTCTGGCAGCAGGTCCTTCACTTGGGAGATGAGCGAGTCCAGCTCAACACCACACACGGTGGGGCCAAGGGTGGCGGCTGCTCCCACGCACTGCAGTGAGAGCCAGGGTGAAGCCGGGGAAGGCCGAGCCTGAGGGTGATGGGGTTACCGCCTCAAACAGCACTGGACTTGCCATCAGGGGAGCTACTTCGATTCCTGCCGTAACCTCTCCTGACTGTAGGGCCTTAGCCAAGTAACTCAAGTCTCTTTGAGCCTCCCTTTCCTTCTCTGTGGAAAAGGGGGGCTCCATGCTTTGCTATTTCTGGCTGTGTGACTCTGGGCAGGGTGCTTCTCCTCTCCGAGTCTGTTTCTTCATAAAATAGGCCTACTGCCGTCACTTCATGGGGTTGTTTCAAATGGTTCAAAGGGAGGATACATATAAACCACTGAGCACAGTACCTGGTTCAGACTAGGCACTCTATAATTAGTCATGGTCTACTAATCAAGGCCCTTTACCAACCCTAACAAGTTGATTGAATTGCCGGGGAGCAGCAACTACCAGGCTAGATGGTGTGGACATATTCCCCTTTGACTACATTCTTTGCAGCGAGGGGGATTTTTTTTTTTTTGTATCAGGAATTGAACTCATGACCTTGTGCTTGCCAGGCAGGTGCTGTGCTGCTGAGCTATATCCCCGGCCCAAAGGGGATTAATTTTATATACTGTCCAACGGGGCTTAATTTTCTTGGACTTTTAAAGGAAATTGACAAATCTAAACAATAAAAAAGGGCTGGGTCTATAGCTCAGCGGTATAGTGCTTCCCTTAGCATGTGAAAGGCCCTAGGTTCCATCCCCAGAACGACTGAATAATCATAACAACAATAAATGATTCAGGGGCTGGGGATTTAGCTCAGTGGCACAGCACCTGCCTGGCAAGCATGATGTTGTGAGTTTGATTCCCAGTACTGGAAAAAAATACAAACACAAACAAAAAAAACCAGTCCACAACAATAAATGATTCAGATAAGAAGCCAAATGGGCTGGGTGTGGTGGCCCGCACCTGTAATTCCAGCACTCAGGAGGCTGAGGCAGGAGGATCACTGTGAGTTCAAGACCAGCCTGGGCTACAAAGTGAGCTCAAGGCCAACATGAACTGTACACCAAGACCCTGTCTCAAAAACACACAAAAAAATAAAGAAGCCAAATGGAGAACAGATTGTGGAAAGATGGAAGGGCTGTCTTTTTCCAAGGCCCTGGGAGAATCATGGGGCCCAGAGCCCCACAGGAAGAATAGAGTACTTGTTAATGGGGAATCAAGGGCCAGCCAGGCCCAGTATTTCAGGCAGAGGCTCTGGCAATCCCAACAAGCTCACAGAAGTGGGCACAGTATCTAACCCCACCTTACAGATGAGGGACTAAGGCCAGGAGTGATGTGCCGAAGCCTGAACACCTGGTGAGTGGCGGAACAGTCTACACCCCCGAGCAGCCTGCCCTGAGTTTTTGGGGTCTCCATCTCTACATTATGCCACTTTCCAACACTCAGGGACAAGTCCAAGGCTCAGCAGCCATGTACTTGGCCAGTTCTAGAAAAGCCTGGAGGGAAAGCACCAGATCCGAGGTTTCCAAACTTGTTCACTGGAGCCCTGCTGGTCCCATGAAGGAGTTTCCAGCGAGGCAAAGCGGTGCGGCTTCCAAAGGAGCCCCACTTTCACCTGCACAGGGCAGAGCTCAGGAAGAATTTCATACGCAAAAAGCTTCACCTCGTAATTTCATAGAGGAAAAACAGGCTTAGACAGCTTAAGCAACTTGATCTGTCCTAATACCTGGTTTAGCATGGCCTCAACTTAGGAACTCCTTAGGGTAGCAAACTGACCAGTGGTTTGAGTTGGTCTATTCCAGAAGAAACACCACTTCTCTGATTGCAGAAACAAGGAAAAGAGGTCTGCCACTGCTCTGATGGGGCAGAAGGGGTCGGGGAAGCAGGGGAAGGAATCCCCTGGGCACACACCTCCTCTTGCTCTGAGTTCTCCAGTTGAGATAGTGTTTGACTGGCTGGCTCTGCTGTCATAGTGACCCCATTAGAATCTCTATTAGAATCCTTGGCCACTGACGGGTCTTTAGTATCCATGGCTTTCTGTCTGTCCATTCCTTCCCATGCACTTTCCACTGCCTGGAGGATGTAGGCAGTGCGTGTCTCATCTCTGCGAGGCTGTGTTAAGGGCTCTTTCTCAGGCGCCACAGCCTTCTCTGCCTTCCCAGCTCTGAGGCAACTTGATTTCTCAGTCTCTCCCCAACCTCTGACCAGTGGGAGTCATGGGCACCTGGGCTGGTAGGGCAGTAGGCCACATGGTCCTTGCAACACACTCCCAGTCACTTAACCTGAAGCAGTTCTGGACAAAGACAGGGCTGGGGTCCACCATTAAGTGTCTTGGGACATGGTGTTAGGATGGGCCAGCAGTTCCTCTTTTGCACTGACTGCTAAGAGGAGGGCCACTGCCACTGGGCTTCCCGTTCAACTAGCCAAGGACCTTCTGTAGAGTGGGAACCTACAGGGTGTCCTGAGGCAGGACTTAGTAACCTGCCCTAGCAACCAAAAGGGCTCACGGACCAACTTCCTCTCTAGCACCCTGGGCACAGCCTAGCCAGAAATCTGAGAGTTGCCTCCAATGCCCTCATTCCACTTCTAGTCCAAGCACCAAGATCTGTGCCTGGATGCTACCAAGAGCCTCCTCTCTGCCCCCTGAACCTCCTGTGGTGAACACAGCTTCTCTATAGAATACACTCGCCCATGTCACACCCTGCTTCACAGCTTTCCACACGTCTCAGTACTTGTAGAACACAGCCCAAGACTTTCAGTGAGAGTCACTGCTTCAAGGTGCTGCATACGGCAGGTAGCTCACCTGTCAGACCTCCTCCGGTAAAGATCCCGGCCACACCCTGTACTCTGTACATGACAGTTGGTGGACTCCACAAAGGAGCCAGCTCTTTCTATCTTCTGACCCCTGGGAACACCCCTGTCCTCATCCTAGCTCTTGGCCTGGCCATCTATGCTTTCTGCTCCCAGCTTTGACAGCACTCGTCTCCTTGAGCTCCGCTAGGTGAGGTGCCGTCTGAATTCCTCTTGTATGACTGCCTGTTTACTTGTCTCTCTCTCCTCCTGCAGGGATCTGTGAGTGTGGCCCAAGACCAACTTGGTCACACCAGCCCAGACCTCAGGCAACACCCAGAGAAAGCAGGACTATACCACCCCTACCCCGGACACCAAAGCACTCATCTGCTTTCGAAAAAGGGGGGTTAGGACATTGGCTGGCTCTACGGACTACTGGCTAACACTCTCTCTGCTCCTCTTGTTTCTGCAGGTCACATGTGCCCTAGTCAGGCCAGGCTCGGTGCCAATGGGCTGTGGTAGAAGGATACAAGACTGATGAGGCCTGTTGCAGCAAGCTGATGTCTTCGGCCACAGGGAAGAGGTCATCATAGTCACGGAGGAATCTTTGGGACAGAGAGCAAACAGGAGGGGTGGGGCTGGAGCCATGGGGACACTGTTCTGCTGCAGGCCACTCCCTGTGTCTGCTCCCTAGCCACAAGCGCCAGGACCTTTCAGCAGTGGTGAGCACATGGCAGGGGCTCCAGCGTGTAAGGTCCCATGGGGCCTGGTGGAAAGGCTGCGGCCCTGTCCCACTGCTCGTCCCAGTTCAGCCACACTCACCTCTTCTCTTGTAGCAAGGAGCTGAAGATCTGAAGGAACTCTTCAATGAAGCCCTGAACACTGTCGCAGCTGGAAAATGACACCAGAGAAGATGAGCCCGCATACATAATGCAAGATGACACCCCAGGTCCCTTCCATGCCTGCCCCGCACCTTGCAAGGCTCTGGCCAGCTGGAGGAAACGGGCATTTTTCTGAGTTTCCCACCTCTGCTTGGCAAACCCCAGGACAGCGGGGGAGGCCAGCTGGAATGATGGGAGTACTCTTGTTGGGCCGGGACCGAGCTCCCGAGAACTCACCTGCTTTCTAGGATGGGAAGGAGGCAGATCTGGTTCAGGATGATGTGAAAAACCTCCACTAGCTTCTTCTTGGAATGCAAGAGCCTCTGCCACAGGTCAGCCAACAGCCTTTGCAACCAGAGTGGACATATAAATAGATTTAGGAGACAAAAAGGCACTATGGAAGCTCTTCCCAGCAGCTGCACACTCCTCCCCAGGGCTGTGGAAGTCTCACAGGTCACTGTGGGCAAGCTGCCAAAAGGTGGCTGGGGGGCTAGCAGGCTCCACTTCTCAGTTCAACAGTGGGTCAGAAGCAGTGGGCTTGGTTACCAACAGCTTGAAGCAAGAGCTGAGAGGGTGCTTAAATGCAGGGGCCAGCCGTCCTATTAACCACTGGTATTTAGGGGCACTAGGTTAATAGACTTAACTGCTAAGCAGGACCCTGGGACCAATCTCCCTTGTTCATTTAATTCTCTACTTGTTGAAATCTTTATCCTGCAGTCCTCACACAATTCCTTACAGAGTACTTTAAAAAATCTTGTTGGATATGATAGTACATGCCTGTGATCCCAGCACTCTGGGAGACAGAGGGAGGAGGACTATAAATTCAACCCCAGCCTGGGCAATTTAAGAGTCTTAGTGAGACCCTATCGGAAAAAAAACGGGGAGGAGTAGGGCCAGGGATATAGCTCAGCAGCACAACGCCTGCCTGGCAAGCGTGAGGTCCTGAGTTCAATTCCTGGTCCAAAAAAAAAAACAAAAACATGGGGGGAGTATCTGGGCATGGAGTTCAGTGTGAAGGCCCTAGGTTCAACTCCCAGCACTGCAAAAGAAAAACAAAACAAAAGCAAATCTTCAGTGCTGAGAACCTAACACTTGGTAGAGCACTTGCTTAGGACGCCTAATGCCCTGGATTTGATCACCCCCGCAAAAAACAATTCTTTTTTGAATTTAAAAAAAAAAAGAAAGAAAAAAACGCTGGAGCCAGGCGCCCACAAGGCAGGGATGAATGAGCCAAAAGCTGCGCAGCCCTTGGTCCTATTCCCTCATCGTAAGACACTGGGAATGATGCAGCTGGGGAAGGCAGGGCCTATTATCAGGTCTCCCTTTCCATCCAAGTTCTTAACTCTGTCCCCGCCTCACTTGCTGTCTTCAAGCCTCCTCTTCTTAATTGCAGACTCCATTTCCGGAATTGCCACTTCATAAAAGGATGCTAGTCTGTGAAGGTGCGCATGGGTAAAAAGCTAGATTAGTTCATAAATACATTTCCTTACAAAACCAAAGTCACCCCCAAGGGACTGGGAAGATTCATTTCTTGCTTCCACAATTATTTTTATACTCTGGAGCTTCTCCATGCCTACCCCATACTGACCACTGTGGTTCCACCAGCAGCCTCTTGGGAAGTGTCTGTAGCTATGTCTCCTATTCAGATGGGACGTTCTATTTTGTGTGTGTATGTGTATGTGTGTATATTTGAGACAGAGTCTTGGTATTCAGTTCAGGCTGGCCTTGAGCTCACTTTGTAGCCCAGGCTAGCCTTGAATTCACAGTGATCCTCCTGCTTCAGCCTCCTGAGTGCTGGGATTACAGGCATACACCACCACGCCTGGCTCAAGATTATTTTTTTTACTTGCTCAAAAACTGCTATTTCTATGTGTAAAGAAATGTTCATTTTTAAAAAAAATGTTCAAACAGCCGGGTGTGGTGATGCACATCTGTAATCCCAGCACTCAGGAGGCTGAGGCAGGAGGATTGTTGCAAGTTCGAGACCAGCCTGGGCTATAAAGTGAGTTTAAGACCACCCTGAACTGCATAGCGAGACCCTGTCTCAAAAAGACAAAAAAAAAAAAAAAAAAAAGTTCACTTACAAATAATCTTTCTTAATTTAGTTATGAGATATAAAGAGAAAGCTTTAGTTTTGGTGTGAATTGGAATCTTTAAAAATTATCATGCCTGGCATGGTGGCACACATCTGTAATGTAATCCCTGCACTCAGAAGGATGAGGCAGGAGGATTGTTCAAGACCAGCCCGGGCTACAAAGTGAGCTCAAGGCCAGCCTGAACTGCACAGCAAGACCCTGTCTCAAAAAGACAAAAAAAAAAAAAAAAAAGTTTTAACATGAAAATGTCAACACAACATATCTTTCTCAGAACACGCTAAATGTGCTCATGATTTAAATATATTCTATTGTCTACACTAGTTCTGAGTTAAGCCAGTTAGTATGGTTTCTACAACTCTTACAAAACTAAAAATTATATATATATTGAGCTGGATGTGGTGGCACTTGCCAGTAACCCAGCTACTTGGGAGGCTAAAGAAGGAGCATCCAAAGTTTGGGGGCCACCAGCCAGGGCAACCCCCTGTGGAAGGCCCCACAGGGGGTTGTGGAGAATGGACAGGAATCTTCCAGGCAAAGAAAGGTTACAACGGCAGGAAGGGAATTCAAGGCAGGTGGAGTACAGTGTGTAAAGGCTCAGGGTGTGTCTGGGGCAAGCCCGGGAGTGCGGCATGACCTGAGGCACAGGGTGGGGACACCAGGACTGCAGGGAAAGGAGCCAGTACCAGTAAGAGACAATTCTAGTTTCTCCTGAAAGGCAGATTGGGAGGAACTCTGAAGTGCTGACTGGGTTGGGGCCTTTATTTTGTGGGCAACAGAAGTTACTACAGGCTCTTATCCAAAGGGGCCCCAAAGAGATCCTGCTAGGTAGAAGGAAGACAGGGAGGAGAACACGGGGAGGAAGGAAGACTGCTTTCTCTACTCAGCCCAGCCAGCATCTTCTTTATGTACTAAGACAGCAGAATACAGGCACGGGCATTCCCGGACCAGTATGAAGGGGCTGCACCACACTGCCTGGCAACAACAGATCCTGCCCCATTCTCAGTGGCCTCTGCTTGTCACTCTTGCCAGGCATTTCTCCCCACCGTTCGCAACAGTCCCTGGGAGCCTACCCAACTCTGTCTACCCATCCATCCACTGTGTCATTTCCTCACTCGTTCAACAAAACATTTATCTAGTGCTGACACACGCCAGCGATGACAGCTGGTCCTCTGCCCCCTCCTTGGTCTTCTCAGACTGTGAAGAAGCAGACATTAGGACTGATCAGCTCCCAAGACAGGGATTGTTAGAATCAAGTGCTGATCAGCATTCCCCCCAGAAGAAAGCAGCTGGGATGGAGCTGTGGCTGGCCACTTTGGAAAAAAAGTATCCTGTCTCATGAAAGGGGCATGAAGTTGGTAGGAAATGTGGAAAATATAGAAAAGTAGGAAATTAAAATCACAAGGGATTAGACTGTTCTTAGAATTTTACACCTTGGTGTTTTCATTTATCATTGCAATTTCTCACTTTAAACATCTCCCTGAACAGGGAGGGTCTTTGGAGTTGGGGGTGTAAGTTTTAGAAGAGCAGACTTTCCTGCATGGGATAGTGGAGGTGGGGATAAGGTCCCACCCACCTCAGGGTGAGGACGAAGAAAGGGAAACACTTTGAAAGTGACTCTGCCCTTGAACCACACACAGCCCTGGCTGGCGCAGCCTGTTCCACTGTGCTGGAGGCCAGGAACCAGCGGCGAATGCAGTGACCTCAGCTCCTGACAGTTCTCTGGAAGGAGCTGTAACCACCCTGACAGCTTTTTCGTTCATTCCTCTTATAACCACTTTCTTCTTCCTTTCTCTCACATCTATGCAATATATCCAATATATATATTTTCTTCCCTTTAATTTTATAAATGAATGGTATGTGAGTACTATATTTTATGAATGAATGCTACACAGTGTAAGCGTAGCACTATAAAATACACAGTGATGTTTCCCTCCCCCCACCAGGTCTGTTCCATTGACATTAGTGCTTTAATTTTCCTGATATGCATTACATTTGCATATTTAAGAATATACACATCTATATACTCTCCCACCCTTCCTTTTCTTTCCCTCTATACTGAGGATTTAATTTTTTAATTTTAGGTTGTTTTATTTTTTGGCTTTTTGAGACAGGATCTCACTACGCAGTTCAGGCTGGCCTTGAGCTCACTTTGTAGCCCAGGCTGGTCTCAAACTCACAACGATCCTCCTGCCTCAGCCTCCCCCTACCTTAGCCTCCCAAGTGCTGGGATTATAGGGGTGCGCCACCACGCCCAGCCTATACTGAGAATTGAACTCAGGGGCTGAAGCATGCTAGGAAAGGGCTCTGCTACTGCACTACACCTCTAATCCTTTCCTTGCTTTTTAAAAATTGAATGCCATCACATTATGAGTACTATGTATATTCTTCGCATTTTGCTCTTCCATTTAGTGGTGGTACAATGGCAATGTGTAAAGTACCCTTGGTCTTGGGCACGGCTAGGTAGAATTTCACTGTGTATATGGCGTACTAGATACCATAGATTGACATTCAAGGTTTTTTGTTTTGGTGTTTGCTATTATAAAAACATACTGTGAAGCCAGCAGCGGTGGCACACACCTGTAATTCCAGTACTCTGGGAGACTGAGGCAGGATGAGCCCAAGTCTGAGCCCAGCCAGGCAATCTAGCAACTTAGTAAGACACTATCTCAAAATACAAAAAGGCTAGCTCAGTGCAAAGGCCCTTGATTCAATTCCCAGTACTGAAAAAACAAAACAAAACAAAACAAAAACCACGTTGCACAAAATAACTTCACACACATATCGCTTTATACCTTTACAAGTATATGTGAGAAATAATTCCTAGAAGTAGAATTGAAGGGACAGATGGTATGTGCATCTTTAATGCTCACGGGTCTTGCCAAATCATCCTACTTAGAGGTTCCAATTTACCCTCCCATCAGCAACATATCCTGGCAACAACTGAACCTGCTTGGGCCAAAGTGCCTTCTTTGTCCTCTTCTGGTGCCATACCTAGGAGGGCCTGCCTCTTTTGGCTTAGTTATCCTCTGCTGCTATAGTACTGCAACAAGAGCGATGCTGTCAGAAAGTGGCCAAAGGGAAGACAAGTGTTTGCAGAGCACTTGCTACGAATTCCACACTTAAGCTGTAGTTCTGGCTTTGGGAAATTTAAGCTGTTTGGAGGAAGAATTACACCACAGAAAAGAGGCAGCTGCATTTCCAATTGTTAGGCCCGCCTATTCTCCGTGCAGTGCCTCTGGTTCTGGGAAGGAAGAATCCTGTGGGTGAGCACGACCAGGAAGCACACCGTGGGGGAGGCCTGGGATGCTGCAGGAGGAGGAGGTGCGCAGGAGGAGGAGGAAGAGAATGAGGAAAGGAGAGCTGTGGCCAGTGTTAGCCTGAGGAAAAGTCAGAGGACAGTGGGCACGCTGATCTCAAGGAGGACAGTGGAAGGCTGTGTGACAGGGCTGGGGAGTTTCAACTCGAGCCAGGAAGGCATGGGTGTGAGGCGGCAGAGGTGAGATGTCAGGTTGGTTATGCTGTGCCAGGTGTGGATTTCCCTGAGAGAACTATGGGAGGGAGCTGGTGGTAGTTGTTTTCTTTCTTTCATTCCCTGTGCCTGCCCATGACAGGGGCTTTGAAACAAAGCAGAACTGAAATTGTTCTCTTGCCACACTCTGCCCCATCCTGTTCTTAGCTCAAACTGGCAATGCTTCTAAAATGCAGGCTTCTCACAAGCAAGAGCCTTATCTGTCTTTCTCACCACAGCACTCCCAAGCTGGAAGGACTGGCACATTCGAAGGGCCTAGTAAATATGTGTTGAATGAGTACATGGACCGAAGCCTCTACTTCAACAGCCAGAACTCCCGCTGTACCTGTAACAGAAGTCGTGTTTCTGGAAGGTTGGGCAAGCCAAAGGGAAGATATCCAGAAAGGCCCAGAGCGTAGTGCAGGTATCACAAAGGTAGAGAATAACGTCCTTTAGTTCCTGTTGCCAAGAGAAAAAAATGCTGAATTATTCTCCTGTGCCCCATAGACAGCTTTGTAGAGTCTGAGACACAGCTGACAAAAATCAAGGTCCCCAGTTGGGTGTGGCGTCACATGCCTGTAATCTCACTGCCTCAAAATGCTGCAGCAGGAGGAGCACAAGTTCAAGGCCAGCCTGGGCTACATAGTGAGCTCAAGGCCACCCTGAACTGCATAGTGCAATCTTGTCTCAAAAAACAAAGAAGAACAAATCAGCATCCCCAGTAGGCAGGATGTTGCTTGGGCAGAAAGGAACAGTGGAGGCCATGTGATACAGCCTGTGTGGTCCATTCCAGGAGCGCGGTCTGGGTGAGCCACCCAATCGCTAATGCAACTTCAATGGGCTCACGGTCAGTGACTGCCAAGGTCATTTCTAGTTCAAAGATGATGTAGTCTCTCTTCTATACTGAAGAAAAACCAAGCATTGCATTGGAACTCAAGCCCTCTGGTCCCAGAGAGTGGGCACATCCCAGTGGGAACCAGTGAGGGCAAGAATATCAAGCCCACACTTTCCTTCCTCTCTCTCTCTCTGTGTCTATGTGTGTGTGTGTGTGTGTGTGTGTGTGTGCGCACATATGCACACATTTTGAGGCAGGCTCTCACTATGTAGTTCAGGCTGGTCTTCAACTCATTCTGTAGTCCAGGCTGGCCTCAAATTCACAACAACCCTGCTGTCTCAACCTCCTGAGTGCTGGAATTACAGGCATGTGCCACCATGCCTGGCTTTTTCCTCTCATTTTGATGAATGTATTTAGGACATGGGGTGCTTGCTTGTCTGGTTGCTTAGTCTCACGATAACTCTGAGGTATGGGCTAAGCAGCTGTTAGGATCTCCACCTTGCAGGTAAGGAAACTGAGCCTCAGAGGGTGAAATGATTTGCCCCCACAGCACTTGAAACACTTGTCTGATGGCTCTTTCCCCAGCAGATCATAAGCTCCAGTGTGCAGCTCTCAGCTACCTTGTTCCTGTTCTCTTCAGTGCTTAGCATAGCGCCTGACACACAAGCAGGCCCCTTAAATATCTGCCTTCTGCCTGCCATCCTCATGGACTAAGTGCTGCAAGAGTAGGTGCCATGTCTGTTTTGCTACTGTTTCACCCTCAAAGCTCACTAGCACATGCTGGAGGCCCCTGCGCATAAACTCAGTGAATGAAAAAATGGTTCAAGGAGTGATGCACAAATGAGCTTGCTGAGCTGAACTAAGTAAGGCCTAGGCCTCTATCTCTGATTCTGAGGCCATATTCTTTTTAGTGAAGCAAATGAAGCTCCCAGATGGAAATATAAGCCTGTTGAAAATACTCTTAACCCACATGATGGGAAGAAATAGCTGCTCATTAAGTCAAGAAAGGGACGGTGAACAGGGCAAAAAGCCACCATTGGGCCATCTGTCATAGCAATATTCCCAGCCTTGGAGCAGAAAGTGCTTTTTCTGGAAGGATCTAGCTAGAAAGAGGCTGGGCTGGAACGTGACCTCACCAAGAGAGGCATGTCGCTGGGGGTCAATCGGCCCCTTTCCTCAAGCTTCTGGGGTGTGCTGCTGGCTCCATCCCCTTGCAAACCACAGTGCTGGAGGATATTGCTGAAGACCTGTGAAAGGCAAGAAGGAACTCTCCCACATCTTGATGAGACACACCCTGACGTCCAATGGCTGGGACTCCCACTCCACAGCTAGGGACAGGTGATCTTAAAACTGCCTGGGGGCATATACGTTCCCAGGATACCAGCTGAGGTAATTTTTTTTTTTTTTTTGGTTTTTCTCCGGTACCGGGAATTGAACTCATGACCTTGTGCTTGCCAGGCAGGCGCTTTGCCGCTGAGCTAAATCCCCAGCCCCTCAGCTGAGGTAATTAATAACCTTTTCAGAATTAGGGTCAGAATAGGAACTTTGTAAGATGGGGAGATGGGAAATATCCTTCTTATGGAATTGTGTAGAGGATTAAAAACACAACATAGCTCAGTGATATTGCATTCACCAGCATGAGCGAAGCCCTGGCTTCCATCCTCAGCATTGCAAAACAAAAGAAAACAAAAGCTCCACAACACACATGTAAAACCCCAAGAATCCTGCAAATATGATCTGACTAGATAGGCTGGGCGAAGGGCATGGTAATGAACATTTGGGATACACCTTCACCAACATATAACAGATTTTTAGATCCTCTGTAGGGCAGCTACTTATGGGAGCAATATTTTAATAAAAGACAACAGTGGTGGGAGGGGGAGGCCATGGTAAAATCATGTAGGTATTGAACTGACAGTGCTGTCCTTGGGCTGGCATGTAACTATTCTAGAAGTTACTAAGAACAGTGTGTATCTCTTCATGGTGGGATTATGGGGCAATAGCAATATTCTTCTTTCTGGTTTTAACATTTCCCACATTTTCCATAGTGAACATTATTCTTTCATGAAATGATTTTTGTAAAACGTAAAGCTCTTGATAAACATAGGTTGCTTGCCAGGATATCCTTATGACTGTTGGCAAACGTGCAAGCCAAACTGTGTGAGTGTCAGGCAGCCCTTAGATTTCAGTCCTGCTCAAGAGGACAAAAGGGCAAATTCAGAGGTGTGGTCGGAGACAAGACAAAGACACTGTCTGGGAAGATGGTCTACAGAAAGAGGCAGGGAATAAACACTTCTCCCCAGCTCTTACAGAAAAGCCAAAGAACATCAAGTGGGGAAGCGGCCAGCCTCCCCAGCTCACCCTCCCCTAGGCAGGCCCAAGAGCTGGTACCTGAAGGATGGTGGGCATGGTTTCATCCAGGTCATTATAGTAACTCGGTTGCTGGATAAAGATATTTCCTATAAAAAAAGAGACACAAAGAGAGAGAGAGGGAGAAGCAGGAAGTGGGGAGAGGTGGAAAGTTCACATTACAAATGGTTTCCAGCATGTTCTGTGACCTTTCTCCCTTTTCTTAAGTATCTCTGTAGTGAGGACCTTTAGCAAGTCTTGGCCTAGGGCCCCGCTGGCACTGAGGTTTGACCCAGCCTAGAAACTTCCCCCCACACTGGGGAGGAGCTTTCCTCAGTAGAATTTAACCTTTTAAATACTTTTATCTAGTGAATCACATAAAAGATTTGCCCTGGCCAAACTGGCTTGCCCTGATATCCCCAGGGAGTAAGCAAACTCAGGCACCATGCCTCAGTATGACAGCACGGGCTTTGGGAGTGGGAGTCAGTCATCCAGGAAAACTAAGAAATATGATCTCTTTGCTCAAGAATCCTAAATGCGGGGCTGGGGATTTAGCTCAGCGGCAAAGCGCCTGCCTGGCAAGCGCAAGGTCGTGAGTTCGGTTCCCGGTACCGGAAAAAAAACAAAAACAAAAACAAACAAAAAAAAAAGAATCCTAAATGCAACAATGCTGTGTCATGCCTCCCAAGATGTGAGGAGCCTCCAGGGAAAAATGTCTCTAAAAATTCTCTCGCTTTTGAATACGCCATCACTTTATTCTACGCCAAGTGAAAGGCCTGAGAGGGATGTGGAGATGGATTCAGTGCATGTGTGGTCGCTCCTATAAGATGGAGTCTTCTCTGAGGGTTTACTATTCTCCAACTGACGCTGCTGTGCATGTGCAGGTTGGAGCATAAGGTAACTAGAACAGAACCTGAGTGCTGTGCTCCCCAAATGGTGAGGGAGGGAAGAAAGCAGGAAAGTCACAACTAACTGGGGACAAGATAACGACAAATGCCAACAGCCTTAAGAGAAGAGGGTTCTTCATCTCACTGTAATCCTCACATCTAAGGGTGGTAGAAGGATGCTCCGAATTCCTGGCGTCCTATATCCCTGGGCAGGTCCCTGGGCAGGTCTCTGGGCATGGTTTCTTTACTGACAACTCCGCAGCCCTGGTCCCACCGCATAGCATTTAAAGTAAGAAACTCATTAGTTATTGTACTTTCTCTCAACTCTTTCCTGAATACCACTTCATCCCTTGATTTCAGAGAGCTCAGTTTGAGTAGCCTGGGCTTCCTCAGGATCTCTCACTCTAGATGACTGGTGGTCCTGCAACCTGTAAAGATGCATCAGGACCATATGCACTCATTTCCTCTTCTGGACAGGCCAGGAATGTCTAAGCTCTCCTCCCACCAACCTCTGCTCTTCCTCATGAAGCCCTATCCTGATCTTGCAAGTCAGGTCTGAACTCCTGACCATGGCACAAAAGGGCTTGTGAGATCTGGCCCCTGTGGGCATCCTGGGTCACCTTTTCCCCACTGCCTGTGTTGTCGTCCTCCCTTGTACCATCCTCAACCTCAGACAGCAAGCTCTGTGCCCTCCTGCTGCCTGAAACAACCTTCCTCCCCGAGCTAGTTCTACATTAAGGCAGGTGTCACATCTTCCAGGTAGTGCCTCCTGATCCAGCCAATAGAAAGAAGTCTCCTCCCACAACCCCTGGGGTCACAGTGTGTTCCCCCCTCTCATAAGCCTCCAGTGCGAAAGCCTGTAACAATGCTGTTTTTCAAGTATCAAGATAGCTCAGACTTTACAGTCTATCCTTGGAGTCTTCTGAGTCCCTTTCCTCTCCTTTATCTGATTCCAATGACAGTGAAGATCTCTCTAGCTTCTGATCTCTTAAAAGAAATAATAAAAAGGTAAGGGACAGCTATGGCATCCTTTGAACTGCCCCTTCTCAGATGAAAGCAGTTGAGAAACCCATGGTGAATAAGAGATACTGCCAAACAGATCAGTGCAGTCCAGGAAAGGGCCATGACCCAATTTACTCTGGCTTTACAAAGCAGCTCCAAGAGTGACTGAAAGGCTCTGTTTTAAAAACTACACTTACTGATTCACAATATCAGCCTTGAAAAGCTTTGAAAAAAAGGGAAGGGTAAGGACTGGGTTTGTGCTCGCAGGACAATTAACCAGTTCCCTTTTCCTCTCCCGTCAATCCTCTTACAAGAGATTGCTTTGCCCAAGAATTTCTGTTGTATTGGCAGGGGAGGTGGTCCCTTGTGCCTTGGGCTTAAGGACTGAAAAGAAAGCTGCAGTGTGTACGAGGGAGGTATGGAGGCAGGGAGGGGCTGAGAGAGACGGAGACAGAGACAGACTGACTGCAGACCCCTTCCTGCACGGCTACTCTGAACGCATACATACACCTTACTAAGCTTAAGATTCTCAACCTGGGAGCCTGAGAACACTTTACAACACCCTTAAATCTACGGAACCACCTTTCATCAGATTCTCAAAGGAGCCAGTGACCCAAAAGATTAGGGAACAGGGCAGCAGACAAGCTACTCAATCCCCCGTCACCATGCCATCTCCCGTGGGATCCTCAGAGCTACCTTACATCTGACACCTCCAACAATGACCTCATGCCTACTCACAATCACGCCTCTCACCTCCCAAAGGCTCTTTTTCTGCAATCCACACCAGTTTTCTCCAGAACGGTTAAGACTTCTCTTTCCAGCTGGCCTCACGGAGCCCTACTTTAATTTGTCTCCCAGATGTCCTTCTCTGCTCCAGTAGCCAACCAGGCTCTCACCTTCACACCCACACGGATGCTCCCACCTCTACCGTGGCCTCCTGTCTCTACCCTCCCTCTGCCTGCTGCCAGACTAACCTGTCACCACATGGCTCCCTGCCCTGCTCTAGGCTCAGAAAGTAAGAGCACAGGCTTTGTGAGGACTGTGCTGTGCCAGGCTTTGTGCTGAGCATGCTATTCCCACTGCCTCCTATTTGAGCTCCACAGCCACCCTATGTGGAAGTTCTTTCCCATTCTCCAGATGAGAAAACTGAGGTTTAGAGTGGTTTAACAACTTAAGTTGACACAGCCAGGAACAGAGCTGGGTTGTGGATTGGGCTGTTCACCTCTAGAGCCTGCTGTTTTAGCCACCGAGCAATGCTACTCTCCAAGAGCTGAGGCCTGGCACAGAGCCCTCCCGATGTGGCTTCAGCTTCCTCCCTTCCGCTCCTGTTGCTGCCTTTCTGGAATGCTCCACTCTAACTAAACTGGCCTGGTAATTGTTTTCCTAATTATACCTTCTGTTGCTCACTAACCTCATCCTCTCAGTCTACAGTAAAACTATTAAGGGTCTTCCTCTGAGAAAATTAAAAAAAAAAAGGGTTAAATGGTGATCAGGCTATAATTAGATTTGAATGAGAAAACAGATTATTCCAGTTAAAAAACACTACACACAGGGGCTGGGGATTTAGCTCAGCAGCAAAAGCGCCTGCCTGGCAAGCGCAAGGTCCTGAGTTCAGTTCCCGGTACCAGAGAAAAACAAAAACAAAAAAAAACCCAAAAAAAACGCTACACACAAAATTTCATATACATTATGGCCTAATATGGTTTTATAAAAAATATACAAAGATGCTCAACATGGTTGTGCATGCCTGTACTCTAAGCACATGTGGGGCTGGAGCAGGAGGATCCATGCGTTCAAAACCAGCTGGGGCTCTAAGGCAAGTTCAAGGCTAAGCTGGGCTACATAGTGAGACTCTGTCTCAAAAAAAAAACCCCAAAATGACTGGAAGGAACCAATAACCAATAGCTGTCTCTTGCAGGAATCTGCTAATTGTTTTCCTGCTTCGTTATACTTGACCTCCTTTCAAAACTTTGTACGAAAAGAAAGGAGGAAGGAGGGAGACTATCACAGATGATAACTCAGGTTTGTAAGCAGTATTTAGAAGACTGTCTGTCCTGTGATCTTGGGAATGAGGAAGAGCGTCAGGGGTCTCTACCTGCCATCTTGGGTGCAACAAGTTTCCTCATGGCGGCACCCAGGGAACACAGGATTCACCCAATCAATACTGCACCAAACTTCTGGCTCACCACTGCCTCAAGGGATCCAACTGCTAATGTCCATTCTTTTTACAACCCCAAAGAGTCTTCTCTGAATTCCGTCCCATCTGTCCTTAGCAAGGTTCACTGATGAGTTTTTTTTTTTTTTTGGTAGCAGGAATCGAACTCAGGACCTTGCACTTGCCAGGCAGGTGCTTGTGCCGCTGAGCTATATCCCCGGCCCCTGTCTGCAGCAATGCTGCAAACTGCCATTTTTGGGGCAGCTCCATTGTCCCTGAAGTAGGGAGCAAAATGAACAAGAGCTTGAGAATCAGATCTCCATAGCCACAGGTCCCAGCTTGGTTACTTATTAGTCAAATGCTGTCAGTCACGTCCCTCAGTTGGTTTCCTCATCTGCGTACATGGAGGATAACAACACTTAGTTCTGAGGGTTGCTGTGAGGATCCAACGGGGATACCAATGTGATATGCTTGACATGTCAGGGGCCCAGGCCACACTCAAATAAAGATAAGCTGTCACTGTTTTTCTAACTATCATCACCAAAGTAAACTTCCTCATTCCTGTCATTTTTTTTTTTTTGATACTTGGCCTAACACTAAGACTTCCAGACCCTTGAGGAACTACATATCTGATACCCCCTTATTTTTTTTGCCTTCACTCCCCAGTTGCCAGTCACTTCTTTTAGAGTTGACACTCATAGATCTTTAAGTTTTTGCTAGTACTGTTCACCCCTACTGCTCTGACTCCTCTGCACTAAGTGTCAGCCTCTGTGACCTCTGGTTAGGCACATGGGGGCCCTTGTCCTACATACCTATCATCTTCTGGAGTAGTGGCGAGTTGCCTTTTCCAAAGAGCACACAGAGGTCCAGGATCTTTGGGATGTCAAAGAGGAAGTTATTGTAGAGGATTTCTCCAAATGCAGAAGGGGAAATGAAGTGATCCTAAGAAAAAGTGCAAGAGAGAAAGAATGGAGACTCTGAATGCTCATACTTTGTATAGTGAGCAAACTCAAAACAAACAACCCACAGGCCCACCAGCTGGGGACCAGCTAATGAATGGCAATCTGCCCACCCTATGGACATGTCTGAGCTTCACACACAGACCTGGAGCAACAGCCACTCTCAAGTTCAACATAAAAAGCAAACATATGCCAGGGAACAACCAGCTGAGAGTTCATTCTGAAATATTTACAGGTAAATTACCAAGAAGTTTGGGATAGCACAAAAATACTCCAGAAAAAAAAAAAAACAACTCTGGGAGAGATAAAATAATAGTGGCAAAATGCTAGTTGTTAAGCTGGGTGATAGTTACATGGGATTCACTGTACTTTGCATGGGAAAGTTTCGTATAAATATATGCACATATTTGAAAATGTCAGGCATGGTAGCGCATGTCTGTAATCCCAGCACTCAGGAGGCTGAGGCAGGAAGGTCATTGCAAGTTCGAGACCAGCCTGGGCTACAAAGTGAGCTCAAGGCCAGCCTGAACTGTATAGCGAGACCTTGTCTCAAAAAAAAAAAAAAAAAAAAAAAAAAAAAAGTCTATCATCATTATTTGTCTTCAGGGCTGGGGATAAAACCCAGGGCCTTTCACATGCCAGGCAAGCACTCTACCACTGAGCTACATCCCAGCCAGGGTTTAAAAAGTCAGAATCAATGTCTTTACCCTCTGACGCACAAGTAAAGGCACAGTCACGCGTCACCTGGCAAAGGGCCCTCGGCTTCCATTGATGAAAACACTGGGTGTCAAAGGCCTGGTGAAGCAGAGGATAAGGATGTGGCACAGATTTCTTCCCCAGTGGTGGGAATAAAGGTGGAGGAAAGACAAAGAGGAAACTTGACGCTTCCAGAGCCTTCCTTCCCAGGGGCAGAGAATCAGCACTGAGGTGTCTGGTGTCAGTCGGTGACCAGTCACGGGATCAGAGGCTTACTTTGGATTCCTTGTGTGTGGACATGCGGAGGAAGGTGAGGAAAACACTTCGATGTAGGTGCTTCTGCATTTCAGCAACCTCGGGGGTCGGGGCAACCCACTCGTCGAACTTACGGGGGACATAGCGCAGATAGGAGTCCAGGCACTTTTGCAGGGTCTCATCAAAGATTACCTAAGCCAGGTGACAGAGGACAGCAGGGATTTAACCTTTAGATCCAAGGGGCTGCTGGTGGACCCCGGCCTACTGCCAATACTCCAACCCCAAGGAACCAAGGAGGTACGAATGAGCCGAGGGCTAAACACAAGTTTCTAAAAAATGACACTTTGGAAGGTGTGTTAACATCATTAAGATAGTGATATAAGACAACAATCCAAACCACAATTTGCTGTTAAGGATCCAGTGTAAGAAGTAGAGAAAAAAAGCACCTCCTAGGGGAAGAAAAACAACAATATCATGTGCTTTGTCTTAGTGTTAATTTTGATAGAATGTTACCTGGCACCAGAATTTATCGTGAGGCAAGGCCAGGAGCCAGTCGAGGTCATTGGCTACGAAGGTGGCGCGTTCCAGGTACTCCTCCACTAGGGCGGGAATGTTGTCTTTAGGGGGCGGTTTGTATAACACAAAATACCGGTCTGCCTTCTGCTCGGGGTGCTACGGATCCAAAAACCACGTGTTAACGTGGCAGAAGTTAGTCAGCAAGGGCCCATTTGCCAACCCACAGCAATGACAACACTTGGCTGTTCTAACCGGTGACCCTCCAAGGAGCTTTTCAGCATAAAGAACCAAGTGTATCTAACAAAGGGGGCATAGTTGCACCCGGGGAACACAGGGCAGTTTTAAAAACCATGTTTTTGGAGAGTACTTGATGGCACAGGGAAAGGTTAAGGGAAGAGAAAGCAGGATACAAAACTCTCTACTTAATATAATCAGTTTTGAGGTTTAAAAAAAGTACATATATTCAGATACTGGTACGGATTTTAAAAAACAAAGTAGGGGGATGAAATCCCCAAGTTACTACTGGCTATCTCTAGGGGTAGGGGCAGCAAAAGAGACTGGGGCTTGAATACAGTTTCCAAGTTTTAAACAATGAACGTGTAACATTTTAAAATTGATTTTCAATTATACAAGTTAGAAGCTGGAAGTGATGGTGCGGGCCTGTAACTCCAAGTACTCTGGGAGGCTCAGGCAGGAGGCTCACACGTGCAATCTCAGCCTGAGAGATTTAATGACTTAGCGAGATCCTGTCTCACAAAAAAAGTGGGTGTGTGGCTTCATGCAAAGGTCCTGGGTTCAATCCCCAGTACCATAAAAAAAAAAAAAGAAAAAGAAACAAAATAAAGAAAAAAGTGAGTCATAAGTATCTTTTCTTTCAAAAATTTATAATGTGGGCTGGGTGTGGCTCAGTGGTAGATCACATGTAAAGTCCTCGGTTTGATCCCCAGCACCAAAAAACAAAAAACAAAAACAGGAAATAAAAAGGAAGTAAAAGAATGCTATAGAGGCGGTGAGTCATCTGGGACCATATTTCCAACCTCCATTATCTCCCAGAGACCACTCTTCTTTTGTTTGGTGTCCTGGCAGCCTGTGTGTAGGCATTTATATTAAAATATAGCCATATGCAATATTTGGGCCTGTTTTTTTTTTCTGATGCAAATAGCATTACACTGCACATATCACTGTTTTGTTAATGCCCAGAAAAACCAACCTCAGTAATTTTTAAAAAGAAGATTCCAATCAAGTAGCTGCAGTTCTCAGCTTAGAGTCACAAGTTCCCTCTTCCAGCACTTACCGGGCCATGAACAGACCTTACTTTGTTCACCATAAAGAGGAGAAGATGGGGTCAGTTTTCTCCCAGACTACATAAGGGTGGCTTTCTTTGGTGGAAGTGGTAACAGGAAAAAGGCCGGGCAACAGCTCAGCTGTTATCAACCAGTCCCCCCACCCTCAGGCTGTCTGCTCAGGGATACAGAACAATCAAGACGGATAGGTCTTTAGTCTCCTATGGCCCAGTGAAACTACAAACTGTAGAGTCCTTGTTTCTACAAGGATTCCTGGGGGCTGCCTAACATCTGTGCCTGAGGGATCCCTTCCTATTTAACTGTGATTTACACAGGGGGTCCCAGGTACAAATCTGTTGAAAAAGGAAGTGTATGGACTGAAATACATTCAAAACAATTCAAAGTCTAAGTTTATCTTTCTGGCGTCCAAACTTTCTCTTCCTCTGCCTGTTGATACCTCTCACCTCACCTCTTAGGTCACATCTCTCAGGCTAGGCTATTCATTTCTCTAACACACACACTTGCGCACGCAAGCCTTGAGATCCTACCTTCCCTGTAAACCTACGAATATTTACTTGACTCTCACTGTGCCAGGTGGAGGACATATAAGGGCACCCAGATCCTTACAGGTCCACACTTGGTGCACATCTAAGCCGCCAAGGGACCTCCAAATGAAAGGACATGACAGCTCAAAGCTGCCGAAGGGGCCACAGGAGCACAAGGGAGAAATAACAGCGCCTGGAAGACAAAGGATGGCTTCTTAAGGCTGTCAGCATCTGAGCTGAACCTCAGAGAAGGAAAAGGCTTTTTAGGTGGAAGAAACAGCATTCGATGGAGGCATAAAAATGGGCCATAAAAAGTGCACAGACTGCATTGGGTACTGACTGAGAAATGGATTTGGAGAGTGGTGGAGCATTAAAAAACAAAAACCTGAGACCTGCCCGTGCGGCTGCTGAGTAGGCAGGTTCCATGGCCTATTTCTTTTTTATCCATAACTAGTTAAAAGGAAGATAGAATTCTCCCCACTTACAGAGGAGGAAACAAAGTAAGGCTGATGAACTTTCCAAGGTGATGAAGTTAAGGAGGCAACTAAGGGAGGATTTGATGCAAAGCTCATGCTGCAGACCTATGATAGCCGTGTCTATCCTGGTCTCCGCACCTGTCCCTGAGTCTAGTTCTCACCTCATTCCCTTCAGGAAGCCTCTATGACTCCCACTTCTCTCAATTAGAAGTTCACCTGGGCTCTCCCCCAACACCTGTACTCCGCTCACCTGAATGTGGCACTTGTTAAACGGTATCAAAAGTGCCTTTAGATTGGGAGTGGTGGCATATGCCTATCATCTCACCGCTGTGGAAGACTGAGGCAGGAGGATCACAAGCTCCAACCCAGCCTATGCAACTTAGTAACTTATTGAAACTTTGTTTCAAAAGAAAAACTTTACAGGGGCCAGGGATTTAGCTCAGTGGTATAGTGCCTGCCTGGCAAGCATGAGGTTCTGAGTTGGATTCCCAGTACAAACCAGCCTCCCAAAAAAACTTTATAAAGGACTGGGACTACAGTTCAGTTCAAAGGCCCTGGGTTTAATTCTCAGTACCCTTCTACCAAAACAAGTACTTTTAGATTAGTGGTTGCTGTGGACAGGGAGCAGGAAAGGGGTGGATTACAGATGGACACAAGAAGATGTTTGGGGAAGGTGGAAATGTCTTGATTGTGGTGACTGTCTCAAGGGCCAATACAGACACTATACCCAATTAAATTTTATGCTTTAATTATGTAGTTGAGTGTGGAGCGGCACACACCTGTAATCCCAGCACTCAGGCGACTGAGGCAGGAGGATTGCCACGAGATCAAGGCCAGCCTTGGCTACACAGTGAGTCCAAGGCCAGTTTGAACTATATACCTAGATCTTAGCTCAAACAAAAAAACATTGTGTAAAGCTTTACTGTCCTTCAATGACACAATAAAGTTACATAAAAAGTGAGAGTCTGTCCTCTCGACTGTCTCTCCCACTAGCTATATGCTCCCAGAGCCTTATGACTTCCTATTACAGTGCCTGTCGTTACGTGGACTTTCTATACACATTTCCTGGCTGGGTGGAGGAATGGATGGGGGTAACAAATGACTAGATACACTCACAGGCAGGGTTTGGGAAGGTTATTGGATTATGGGGGCTGATAGCTGACGTGCTGTTAGAAGGTGGAGTCTGGTTAGAAAAGGCAGGTCACTGAGGGTGTGATCTAGAAGGGTTTACCTCCCTCCCTGGCTTCTCCCTTTGCTGTCTGCTTCCTGTCCACCATGTTGTGAGCAGCTCTCCTCTCCCATGTCCCTCTGCCACGCTGTGCTACCTTGGAGCTAGCCAATCACACAAGGAATGAAACTTCTAAAATGTGAGCCTACCAGGCACGGTGGTGCACACATGTGATCTCAGTACACAGGAGGCTGAGGCAGGAGAATTTTGAGTTTGAGGCCAGCCTGGGCTACAAAGTGAGTTCAAGGCCAGCCTGAACCGCATAGAAGCTCTGTCTCACAAAGACAAAACAAACAAACCAAAAAAAAAAAACAAAAAAAAACCAAAAAAAAACAACGTGAGCCAGCCAGGTGTGATGGTACATTCCTGTAATCCCAGCACTTGGGAGGCTGAGGAAAGAGGATCGCTGCAAGTTTGAGGCTAGCTTGGGGTACAAAGTAAGTTCAAGGCCAGCCTGAACTGCATAGTGAGACCCTATCTCAAAAAGATAAAAACAAACAAAAAAACCGAAATACCTAAAATGTGGCTGGGAATTTAGCTCAGTGGTGCAGTGCCTGCCTGGCAAGTATGAGGTCCTGAGTTTGATTCCCTGTTAAAAAAAAAAAACAAAAAAAACCAACAAAAACACAAACCTAAAACATGAGCCAAAATAAACCTCTCTTCCTTTAAATTGTAGGTATTGCGAGGCATGGTGGTGCACACCTGTAATCCCAGTACTCGGGAGGCTGAGGCAAGAGGATCATTGCGAGTTCGAGACCAGCCTGGGCTCAAAGTGAGCTCAAGGCCAGCCTGAACTGCATAGCAAGACCCTGTCTCAAAAAGACCAAAAAATACATATATATATATATATATATATATATATATATATATATATATATAAATTTTTTTTTAAAAGTCTAATTTGAAAAATAAATAAATAAATAAATTGTAGGTATCAGGTATCATGTTCTAGTGGCAAGGGAAGTAACTAAGACAGGTCCTCTCTGCTCTGAGAAGCTACGAGAACATCCATTGCCCATCAAACTTCTGAGGAACTTGCTAAGAAATTCTTTGCTTCAAGAATTGTTCTTTAAGCACTACTTGCACCTCTCACCCTGCAAAGGCAGTGCTCACTATATTCCAGGCACGGTGCTAATTCACAGACATTTCATTTAATCCTCAAAGCCATCCTACCAACTTTGGCCAATTATTACCTTTTTTGGACCCTAACTGCTCCTTGGCTGAAGATCTTTGTGCCTCAAGTTGAAACACAAGAGATAAATAGGGGGTATCAAAACAGTCTTCCAGGAGCCTCCTTAGCCTGCAGGGTAATGTTTGTTAGCTGTTTCCCTCAGTTCACTGTTCCCGCTACCCTAACCCCATTCAGCGCTGCTATCACTATGGCTACTGTCATCACCATCAAAACTACAACGTATTAAGTGCTCACTATATTCCAGGCACTGTGCTAATTCACAGACATTTCATTTAATCCGCAAAGCCATCCTACCAACTTTGGCCAATTATTACCTTTTGTGGACCCTAAAACTTAGAGGGGTAGGTACCTTGCCAAACACATCTGAGATGAACGCAAAGCCCGAGCTCCTTTGCTCTGTGATACTGCTGCCACCTCCGGCACCTGCTGGTTGGTGTAAGAGTCAGGCTTGTAGCACTACTCAGGTCCTTCAGTCACATCCTCCCTTCTCCCACTGCTGTGCCTGCTAGCGTTTATCTACCCTTCCACACGCAGCTCAGAATTCCCCTCCCCCAGGAGTGCCAGTGCCCTCTCACTAGTCCCAAGACCTTCTTGTCACCCACTACCACCTCACTGGTCTGATCAATGGCCCAGCTCTGCTCATGTCACAGGAGCTGGGCCACTGGCTTTCCTTCTTTCACAATCCTGATCACACTGTCAAAAAGCTACTGGTGTGTTTTCGCCTTAGACTGTGGCCCCACACAGGCAGGGACCACATCTCTTCTCTTTGTAGCTCCAGCATCTGGCCCTAAGGCTGGCTGTGTCTCTAATTTATCTACCCAGTGTTTCCTGAGAGTCTACTAAGTGCCTGGCACTGAGAAGCTAGGAGTGAAGAGGAAGCCCAACGCCTCACTCTCGGAACCCACAGCTTACAGCCCAGGTGCTCACTCAGGACACGGGGAAGGACTGAGGTAGAAAAATCAGACTCAATCAACAAAGGAGCCAGTCTCCACTGGCAGTGTCCAGCAGAACTTCCTGTGATAGAATCGCACCTCTGTGTGTCTGCTTGGCCAGTGCAGTAGGCACTGATCACAAAGAGCTATTTTCACTTAAGTTAATTTATAATCCAGTTCTTCAGTCCATCTTTCAAACACTAGCCACAGGGCAAGTCTTCAATAGTGACATGTGGCAAACAGCTACCTATTGGGTGGCTACTTTTGTGAATAGTACAGTCTTACATTTTCTGATAAATATCCTCTGTATATAAAAAGGTTACGAAAACAAACAAGAGGCTTTAAGCACAAATGTTAAGGATTTGAGGTTCTGGGATTAGCCTGACTGGCTTCCCATCTTGGCTCTCCTAATTTCCCAGTTCTGTGACCCTGCAGTCAGTTTCCTCATCTGTAAAATGGGGATAAGCAAAATACCCATTCATAGGGCTGTGATGTGGCTTAAATGATATAATCCAGGTGAAGTGTTTAGAATAGTTTGGCCCAGAGTAAGTACTCTATAAATGGTTGGTACTGTTATTACAGACTGTTTAGCAAGTAATAAGAAGCCATCCAGAAGGCAGGAAATAAAAAACCAGACCTCTGTTTCTCACGACTTTACTCAAGCCCCTAGAAAATACTTCCTCCCACCTTGTTCAAGTAAACTCATATTCTTGGGAAACCAACATGTGGGTATGGGATCCGTTCTGTATCTGTCTCCTTTGGTAGACTGGCACCTCTCCATGGCTCTAATCTCTCTCTACAGCTGGGAACTGGAAGGTTCACAGCCTCCTTAGTTTTCAGTCTCATAAGCCCTGGCAGAGTCTCTGTACGTGGCACTTCTTATCCCAGGTAAGATAAGTTAGCCCAACCTCTGAAATCAGTGTTCCCACCGAAATATGGATAGCTACTGTCAAGTGTACCTTTTTTCCTTTTTAAAGATAGAATGCTTCCAGTGTAGAGTACACCTGTTTTCCTTTTTTAGACAGCTCTGAAAAAGTCCTACCTGAAACCTGAACACCTCCACAAGGTCTAATCCCCAAACACGGCTTTAGGTTGGATCTCTTTGTAGCCCAGCTGGGGCTGCATCAGAATTGCCATCAAAGTGCATGGAAATTAAATGCTTTGAGTGGGAGTCGGGGGATGAGATAGAGGCATGGAAAATGCTACTCAAATCTAGGCTGCTGCTCAGAAGGAAACAGTGGAAGGATCTAGCAGTGTCTCAGCTTCTGAATTACTAACTATGGCCCTCGGGTCATTCTTGGAACAGATAACGAATTTACTTTTTCCTTCTAAAACTGCAATACTGATAATAATCAGGCGGAATGACCTCAAGGCCCCTGCTCACCAGTGCTGGTGAAGTCCTCTGCTTTCCTGTCTTCGGGTCCTTGTGGGTGATCTGGAGTTGATCCAGGGGCAGAGCTGGCATTGTGCTCCGTGACCCTCCTGAAAGGAATATGTATAGAAAGAAGAGAGCAGACACACAGACTCCTACAGACAGGGCTCCAGGGCTGATCCCAGAGCCAGAAGAGAACCATTAATCCCCAGTCTTAGTGTGCCCCAGATGTGGGCCTCCAAGACCTACTTCATGTGCTACTGATCCAGATAAAGTGCTGTTTTGCCAAAAGCAGTCATTCTCAACTGCAGAGGAATACAATTCCCAGGCAACGCCCATTCCTTTTGAGAAGTACTAGCTAAAAAAGTACCTAAATTATTTTTCACTTTTTTTTTTTTTGAAGTACTGGGGATTGAATCTATGACCTGGCACAATACCATGCAAGAACTCTACCACTGAGCTACATCTGTGGCCCCCTAAATTATCTTTATTATGGCTCCAACTCTATGCTCAGTAGCCTATGGAGGCAGGAGATTAGGGTGTGGCAAAACTGGCTGGGGAAGTAGGTGTGTCCTGTTAGTTACAGAATCCCAGGACACAGGCAGAACATTTCCCAAAGCCCTGCACATGGACTTTTAGGGACAGCTTGAGAGGTTTTCAGTAAGACACCCTAGGCCTGATATCAGCCTGAGGAGTAGAAGATACAAAAGGGACAGTCAACACTGAGCCTCTGCCACTGTGTACTCTCATGGTGTACAGCGTACCTTTCTTCCTACTTCCTCTTGACTCCAACTTATTCTGCAGAGCCTGCTTCTTTTTCTACCTTTAATAAATGTAAAATCTTGCTACTGTTTGTGCTTCTCTTGACCAACTCTGTGTGCTGGACAGAAAGAACCTAGAAACCACCTCTAGGAGGAGACTTCAGACCCCTAAAACCCTGTAACACTAGGAGCTCTGTGAAGATTCTGCTCAGGGCTCTACTTCCCTTACTACCTTTCCTACGATCAGCACAGACCCAGAGCAGACACAACCACATCAAAAGTCTGAGGAATGACTGACTAGGTCACTCTTGTTATAACTCTCATCTGACCTTTCAGGTCTTTGAAGGGTTGGAGCCATGGGCCTTCCCTTGCTTGTAGAAGGTGTTAACATGTACCGACTCTCTAGGCCTCTAGGAAGGAGGACAGATGAATAGAAGGACCAGGGGGAAAGAGAAAATTCCTAGAAACCTGCAAGAACAGGCTCCTTTGCACAGAGGACCAAACTGGCCTCAAAGGCAGCAGTTGGTGCTGAGTGTGGCTCAATGGCAGAAAGTGTGTTTAGCATACGCAAGGCCCTGGGTTTGAGCCCTAGCAAAAAAATAAAATAAAAAATAAAAAAGCCAGGAGACCCCAGGTCTCCTATCTTCCCATCTAATCTTCTTTTTACAATACCACTAGGCCTGTCCCACAGGAGGGACACATGAGTTGTCCAAGTCATGGAATGGATGTAAATTAGCCTACTCAGAAGGCATGCTATTTAAGGCTAGTATGGTCACAGTGACAACAGATCAACGTTGAGCAGAGGAAACTGTCACTTCCTGAGCTCTCATAGACAAGATGAGGGGCAGGTCTGCCATATATTACCAGGTGTGCTATATCTCAGATTTCAGGCCAGCCCCTGGTGATAGGAAGACAGATACTAGGGAAGAAGATGCCCTAGGCAAAGGAAATAGAAGATCACAGGATAAGAGAAGGAAGCAGCAAGGTACACAAGTTCTAGTCTGTTTTATTGTATTTTTAAAGAGACAAGTTTCCCAGCTGACCTTGAACTTTTGGGCTCAAATGATCCTCCTGATTCAGCCTCTCTAGTAGCTGGGATTACAGAGTGCACCACCGTGACTGGTTTCTGGTCTGTTTTCATCGTCTAGCTTTGCTAAGCATAGATAACATTCATTCTA